AGGACCCCTGGAGGGAGCAGCCATTAAAGATAAAAGTTGATATTTGGAGAAGGATCACTGTACTGTAGAACATCCACTCCTTGGTGCCCCCTGGTGGAGACGCATCTGATCAGTGTCCTCCACGTTTAACCAAGTCTCTTTGGAGACGTACCTTTTCATCGTGCAACAGCCTGGTGTCCACATGTGGGCGCTGCACCATCACTGTACACACACACACACACACACACACACACTCAATCACACATTTTCTTGCCGCCGCCGCCGCCGCCACACACACACTCATACATATTACATGTGACACTTTACGTGTTCCACCACGGCGTCGCTGACCACACGTGTGTGATTTACACCTGACAGACTGACACGGCGTTAATGACACACACACACACACACACTCTGTAGCTGCCACTCCTCCGGCCGCCGCCGCCGTGTCCCGATTTATGTCTCCATTTCACTGGGGGACACGCAACTTTATGGCTACAACTAATGAGTGTTTGCATTATTGATTAACCTATGAACTATTTTACAGCAGCAGCTAAATGTGTCCGGCCGCAAAGTAGACGCTGGACGTTTAATAAGTCTGTGTGTGAAGGCCGTGAACGACGGGAGTCACAGGTGTTGAATAATACTGTTTGAAATGATCATTCTCTCCTGCTCTATAGCATAGCTTAGCTTAGCATAGCTTAGCTTAGCTTAGCATAGCTTAACATAGCTTAGCATAGCATAGCTTAGCATAGCTTAACATAGCTTAGCATAGCATAGCATAGCATAGCGTAGCAGTGTTAGCAAGTGAAATCACTCAACGCTGCCATCGTCTGACAGATAACAACACAGTCACAAATAAACTTTTCCAATTAGGCGTCTCACTTACTGAACACACCTGTCTCGCTGGCTAACGTGCTAACAGATAGGTTAGCTAACAGGTACGGCAGGTGAGTGTAGCAGAAACACTGACTGGTCACATCAACCGAACCTTTAACTCCACTCCATATTTAATCTTTCTTTTCTTTTCTTTTCTTTTCTTTTCTCCTCAGGAGGTGCTGCCCGACAGGAAGAGGGTGACCACCAGGAGCTTCCTGCCCATCGCCCCGGTGGACAAAGACAGTGGAAGCAACTTCACCTGCGTGGCCAGTAACCCAGCGGTGCCCATGGGAAAACGCACCACGGTTCACCTTAACGTCCACCGTAGGTTTGCCTTTTT